CCACGGGTTTGAAACCCGGTTTTTAGCGTTGTAAGTCTGCAGACATACCGCTGTGCCACTGAGATGCAACAGAAAGAATGTACAAGATATTACTGATACTAATTAGGTTTATACAGATACCAAAATAACTACAGACCTCTTTTGCTTAGATTGTTCTCCACGTGCAATTGAACATTTCATAATATATTGACAGTATTTGCTGTTTTGTAAAAATTTTTTCTTAGAGGAAAAAATGTTCATATTCCATCGGTGTAATAAATATGATGGTTTATGGTATATCAATAAATTATCATTTCATGTAGTTAATCAGGCATTTATCATTTTGTTATCGATTTCGCATTAAGGTTAATTTAATTACTTTTTTGTGTGTGTTTGTACGAGCTAAGAGCCTTTACCTTTCTTGTCGCAAGTCAAAATCTTTTGTTATAGGCCTACAATGGGAGATATATTTTATCTATGTGGGTTTCATGCTCTTCTTTGGTCATATGTTTCAAACCACAGCTGAGAACCTGATAATGGTATTCCAGAACATCAAACATGCAAACTTGAAATTTATACCAGAAAATTGCATGGCCATGTATACATGAAAGTGCAGTTTCTTGGTCAGATATTCGATAAAAATAAGTGTCCTCTGATCCTACAAAGATTGCAGTGGTTCAGGATCGGCTTCTACCTTATGATAAACAAGAGATACACTGCTTTATAAGTTTCACGTCGTATTGTTGACGGTTTTATAGTCAATTTCTCTAAAATAGGTACGTCACTATTTACAATGACTAAGTTTGACATGGACTTTGTATGGATATCGGAATGTGAAGACACGTCCAATCCTCGAACCAGGCTTTACTCAAAGCACCAGTGTTGACTTATCTTTGTCAAAGATGTCCATTCATTCTTAAAACAGATGCTAGTGATAGAATTGGAACAATTTTGTCACATATATAGGATGACTTGTTTGTTTGTGTTGAATTTGGCGCAAAGCTACACGAGGGCTATCTGCGCTAGCAGTGCTCTAATTTAGCAATGTAATACTAGAGGGAAGGCAGCTAGTCATCACCACCCACCCCCAACTTTTGGGCTACTCTTTTACCAACGAATTGTGGGGTTGACCGTCACATTATAACGCCCCCCACCACTGAAAGGATGAGCATGTTTGGTGGGATGGGGATTCGAACTCGCGATCCTCAGATGGCGAGTCAAGCGCCCTAACCGCCGGGCCACATAGGATGGAATGGAGGAGTAATCATATATATATATATATACACACACACACACCTGTATTTGTTTTATTTGTTAAATATTACCACCACTATTTGTACAATGGGTAGTTCACACATTGGGTAACGATGCTGGAAAAGTAATTATTCAGACTACCCAAGTCAGCAAAATAAAATATTTGACAGCTTATCTCAGAAACCTGTAAGATCATGTCAGTTCATTAAATGTTCAAAGCTTGGACACTATGCAATATTAAGTCATTGCAGCAGAAATGATAATTCTTCATTTGGATGGACACCGCAGATGATCACTCAGGAACTTTGGGAAAAGCAACTAAAGGATCCACACCTAGCTTGGCCAATACTTACCATGCAGCAAGGTAGCACACCTCAATGCTAACATAGTACTGATGTGTGAAAAACCTGGGACATCTTTAGCCACCTATGAGTACAGGATGGAATGTTGAAGCAGCTTTATGAAGTTCCGTGATGTGGAAGCCATGTTGTGATGCAGCTAGTGGTCTCCAGAGCTCTTAAACAGCAAATTCTTAAGACTTTATGTAATGCAAGCCTTGGGAAACCAGGGACAGTCCTGCACTATCGTGAACATGTGTAGATGTTTTTTCTGGCTGCATTTATGTAAAGATGATGAACAATGGTGTAGACACTGCTCAGTGCATTGCCTACAGAACAGTGACTATGCTAGGAAAACTCAGAGAGAGAGAGAGAGAGAGTGGTTGTTTTCCTTCTGGAAAGAATCACCATAGATATAACTGGTCCTCTACCCAAAACTGAAAAGGTTAATTGGTATGTGCTGGCCACGATCAGTTACTTCACCAAGAGGGTTAAAGCTTATCAACTGGCTGGCATATTAGCACGACCAATCACAGATGTTGTGACTGAACAGTGAATGGACTTTGGCACACCTGGAGAAATCCACACAGATCAATGAGTTAACTTCAACAGCAGGCTGTTTGCAGAGTTGTTTCGAGTGTTTGGTGTTGTAAAAACTTATGCATTACCATATCATCCTCAGTATGATGATTTGGGTGAAAGCATGTGCTTACTAGTTTTCTTTACACTGACCAAACTGATTGGGATGAGTATCTAACATATGCCATGATGGCATAACATACAACTAGCTAACAGCCAACTGGTTGCTCTTATCTGTATTTGTATTAGAAGTACATCTCCCTTTGGATCTGTTGTATGGTCCGCCACCCAATGCAGAAGTACCTCAGTGTACATAGAAATATATACATGAATTTGCATTACAAAATAATGGGAAAAGTGACTGTATGTCAAAAGAAATGTTACAACAAAAGGTAATGGAATGAAGGTTCATGTTTTGTTATGGTATATGCCTGCAGTGTGCAGTACGGAAACAAATTGGTTTTGGCTTGACTGGTATGTATTTATCTTGTTAACAGTGCAATGAAATAAATTATGAGTTACAGTGGTCACGTGGCAAACTTAGATGCCCTGAAAATGTCGACAAGCTTAGACTCCACATCACTGACAAAACTCTATACAATTGGTTATTCCAGGAATCAGAGGTGAATGAGCAGGTTGAATCTGATGCTGAGAGCTCTGTGTTGCACAATCTAGTCTCGTCTGATAAGGAGAAAGATTGGTTGCACATACTATTTCTGAAGAGTCATATGAGGAAATGCAATCGGAGGAGCAGCTAATCTGCTCTAATGATGGGTTATAATGAACTTCAACAATAATTGGTATAACTTGAAATACTCGAGAAGCATATATCATCTGCAAACTTAACCAATATACTGGTTATTCCATTATCAGTGTTATTAATGAAAGTGAGAAACTGTAAATGATATAGCATAGAAATCTGAGATAAGAGTAAACCACTCATAAATAAATGAAAAGCTAAAGCTACACAGTTTAACATTAACATAACGTAAAATATCTTCATTGTTATTAGGCATTTAAAGAATCTGTGACTGTGTGTTTCAAATGAAGCTACTACAAATTTTTAAATTCGAACCCTCCATTTGAAACAATCATAAATCTTTCGCTGTGCTCTGTCGTTAAGTGGCTTCCTCGGGAGTTTTGATTGCAATTATGAAACGTTTTGATCAACATTTAAAAATATAAAATTCTAAAGCGAAAGGAAATTTCTTCCCCAAAAGAGTGTGTCACAACGATATTTTGGATAGTTCACAACATAAAAAATTATATAAAAACTAAATCAAATTATATGAGTTTCTTTAAGCCGAAACTACCTTGGATGCTGTTTTGTTAGAAATGTACTAATTAATTCAAAAATACAATATTGAATTGATTACAAAGCACAGAGCTACACAATGAGCTGTCTGTGCTCTGCCTACCACGCAAAAATTCAATAATAGGAACTTTTACAATAAGAGTTGTTAAAACCAAAATTTCCTTACTGCTGTTATTGCCCCCCACCTCCAGTGGCTCAGGGTCTGAATATACTATTAAAAAGTACTAAATTTACTGGCATAAGAATGTGTACAATATCAGGTGTATTTAAGTGTTTTACACTCGCAAATACTTAAATACACCAGTTCGATTTTCGATACGTCACTACAAGTCATGGTGGTCTAGTTGATAATAAAGATGCTCAATGGGCTATCTGTACTTTGCTAAACGCGGGTATCTAAATCCGATTTTTAGCGTGATAACTACTAAGACTTACTGGTGAACTCCCGGGAGCTGCAACAAAGAACTTTTTTGGAATTTATTCTCGTTCTAGGAGCATAGCCAGGTGGTTAAGGGACTCGAGTCGCAATCTGAGGGTCGCGAGTTCGAATCCCTGTCACA